TTATTTATTATAATCAGATTTTTATTGCACAACTTACAAAGTATTTTACAATGTCTTATCATTACTTTACATATATTTATCTCACAATTTTTGATTCATGCTCAACTCACCCCTCCGCTATTTTTTATTTATTATATTTATAGTATATCATAACGTAAATATTTATATTTTTATTGTTGTTTATTTGTATGTTGTATATTTTTTTATGTTTTAATTATATATTTTTAACAAAAAGAAGAAGATGTTAAAAATTTTCTTTTAATTTTTTTTTTTTATTTATTATATATTTAGTAATAATAATTGAAAAAATAGATTATATTGAAAATAATATTATTTCATAAAATTCTTCACAAATATATTTATATAACTATGTATTGGTATGATTTTTCCTTCCTCTTTTTTTTTTTTTTTTTCCATAAGGTTTTCCAAATCCCCTTTGTAATTCCCCATGGTTGGTATATTCCTTAGTGAGTCACAAGTTGTCGAGTATTTGGACGACGTACGGCTTGTAATCCTCTCTGTTTCTCTTTCCCCGTGGTCGCCACTTCCGCGAAACGTGATAATTATCTCCTGGTCTCGTAAACTTAACGATCGGCAAGGAAGTCTTTGTTTCTCTGCCCCGCCACGTTCTTAGAATTGAAGAAACATTTTTCTTCTTCTTGGAGAAAGGAGAAAGAGAAAAGTGAAAGGAATAAAAGAAGAACAATATATGTTAGTTTATAAATTATTGATTTTTCCATATGTTCGATGATGATTCTTTCGATATTTTCCTTTTGTTCGAAAATTATAAAAAAGAGATATTTGATAAAAGATATCTCTAATCGTAACGAGACATATTGTGGATGAAGAAAATAAAGTAAAAGAATAAAAACATGAGAGATTATATCTTTCCCTTGACAACGACAGCAAAGAACCGTGCGACCAACGTAATTTTCAGTCGATTCACGGTAAAGGTGAAAAGAGAAAAGGTTTGAAGGGACAGGTCAAAGATACATTGAAGAGGAAAGGTTTAGGGTTTGTCAAAGAATCACTGTAGGGGGTCTAAAAAGAAGTTCGGTAAAATACTTTTCTAAAAGAAATTCTGCGAAAGAGATCAAAAAATATATGGAACAAAAAAATGATGAAATAAAAGAAAAAAAGTTGAAATACGAGCAAGGGAAGTTAAGCTTCAGAAATTCTCTATTCCATCGAAGTTTAGCCGAAAGCAAGCCAAAAAAAAAAACTGAATGAGCCCGAATAGGGTCGGACCAATGAAAAGAGAGTTAGAGAGAGAGAGAGATAGGCAGATTTGTAAGGTTCTGAATTTTTAAGGTACAACAAAAACACTGGTAGTACCTCTCAAGGGTTTTTATTATTCGAACAAAAGAAAGATTTTAGGATGTCTATTGTAAGTGCCCAATGGTGTAAAAAATTCCAGGTGTCAAACGTTTTGTTTGTCTTGAGTATGTATTCATAAGAGTTGAGGACATATTCCGAGACTTATATTAAGCCATTTATTATTTTTAACTTTTATTTTTGTATTTACGAAAATCCCAAATGGTGAGGGTATTTAATAAAAATAAAAAAGAAAAAGAGTAGAGGAAGTTATGTTTGATTCTTTATTTCTTGACGAGCAGAAAACGACCCACACACCTGTTACTTCTCCATCGAACGTTTATCTCTATCTTTCTTTTTTCTTCATGCGAATATACAGAGTGTCTCGTTTAATATCAATCATAACGCATTAGAATATGATCGACAAAATGTAGGAGTAACGTTTAAACTGATAATATATTGCATTATTTGTATTATATAAATATTACTTTTTTGTTTTTATATGATTCTTTTTATTTTAAAACTATAATATAATAATTATTTATTATACACTTATTATATTAATGTATCAAAGCTAAATATTATTTCTTTTATGGATAATGTAGTTGATTAAAACTTTTCTTGTAGAATAATGGTAGATCTTTTTTCCTCATCTCTTAGAATACTTTGTCTTTTATTCTGTTTACCACGGCTCGTTACCCGTCTTAACGTGAATTCTCAAGATTTTTCTCTCTTTTTGATATGAAATAGAGATAGAGATATTTGTTTACAGTGTATTACTTTTACACGTTTTGGTAACTCGCGCAAAATTTACGAGAAATGTAAAGAAATGTTTTTTTTTACAAATTTCATTTTCATATAATTATTTTCATTTCCTTATCGTGTAAAACTGTAATTTTTTTATTCCTACTCTGTTTTTACATCAAACTTTATCAATAGAAGTAAATCTCCTTCCCTCTTTTTTTTTTTTGTTTTTTTTTTTACTAAATTTTTCCTTTAATTTTTACTAAATATTTCATCTCCATTAAAACCTTTCAACTAGGACCTTACTCCCCTTTACGTTTTTATCGGCCCTTCATCGTTGCGTAAAGTATTAAAAACAGAAAAAAAAAAAAACAGAAAAAAAAAGAGGAAAAGAAATTACACGAACATTTTTTTCTGAGTTGTACGTAATGGTTCGCAGAAGTTAAAGGAGGAAGGGGGGAGGAAAGGTAAAAAAAAAAAAAGA